GGGCATAGCTAGTTTTTAAATATTAATTCTAGTCTCTCCACTTAAGATGAAATTTCAAATATTTAGAAAACTATCTTTAAAAAAAAATTGAGGAAGTGTGTTTGATGTAAAGGAACCACATTTTATAATGCCAAGCATTACTAAAAATACCATGAACAAGTATAATTTTTAACAGAAAAAAAAGTGACTTCAATGCGAAAATTAAAAACAAAAAAGAATCATCAAAATCGGTTCATATGCGACGAAGTTATCCAGGAACACATAAAAAAATAAAAATATATACGGTCGAATTGAGAAACCTCCTCCTTTTTTGAAGTCGGTTAACAATACTAGATGAGACGACGAGCTATATCTATAGATTTCAAGTTATATAGATTATGTTATTAATAATTTAAATAACACAGATTTAAATAAAAAATAATTAAGCAGTCATAAGGAATGACGGCAGAAATTTGAAAACTTGAGGCTGGATTAAATGAGTTTTCATAATTTTAAATTAATTATAATGTGAATAATTGAAATAAAAAAACAAAAAGTTAAATTGCGAAAGGCCTATTTTATTTTTGATAATTTAAATCGATGAACAATAATTTTGAGTAGGTAATTGATATTTTTTAAGTCTTATAGAATTTTAATTCGAAGATACGCCACAAAAATACTATATAACAACTGGAATTATGTTTTACAAAGATCAAATATTACAAAACCATGAAATATAAAAATGTCACCAACGTCAATGACAAAACATGTGACATTGGCACTTAGGTGACGCGCACCTATAAATTTTTCCCCATCCTAAATTGCCCAAAGTACCCAATGATGTTTCAATTAAGATGACACATGTCCATACGGCGCGGCGATTAGGCGAAAAATTGTTTCGCTTTATATTACGTATATAAATGAATATAAATGAATGTAACAGATGATATGAAACGTATGATACGGAAAGAGATAGCAATCTCTAGAATCACAATATAATTACACCAGTATTTGTATATGATATCATTAAACGTGCCTATAAAAGTTTTCATTTCAATAGTGCATTTGCAATTTAACCTGTATGTACAGTGAATTACCTCTTTTAATAAGGCCTACAATAATTCCAGCTCCTCGTCTCACCAGTGCTCATTTGTCGTTAAAACTATGTTTGATGAAATAGATTGTTTTAAATGTAAATTTACGAAACGTACACATCAGTAATGTTGAGTGCGTGTCAAAACAAACGTCAGTCATAACTTCCGGGGGGTTAACCCTTGCGCTCCGATATCAATTAATCGGCTCAATTTATGAATTATTGCTCGCAAACGACCCCTCGTGTAACACGGAATAAATAATCAGTTGGGTGTATGACGTCGTGTAATGGAATTTGTGCAGCCAATGTCGTGCTCGCTTCTATATTATGTATAGGGATTAGTTTTCCTTTTTTTAAATGTTCGTTTAATTTAATTTTGATGCATTATTTTATTTAAACTAATGGTTGGGTTATTTTAAAATAAACAATTCCTACCTAGTGCATTTACAATAAAATATGCTCTAATATACCTACAATGGTAACAAGTCGCGAGATTTACATAAGTGTAACCACTTTTGCTTGAACACTGCAAGCCCAGTACGCAACTTTCTATTAAATTTGTGTACTTTTTGTGATATATAAAGTTAAACCAGTAAGATAATGGGGTCTAGATAGCACTAAAAAATTATCTAAAAGAAATATCTTATTTCACCGCATAGTACTATTTTAATTGAAAGGTAAATGTAGTATTTATTTTAAGGATAACAAAAGGGACAAAACGAAAGTTTCCTCTATAAACACATAAATAAAGCAACGATCATTTACATACGCATACTTTGTGCAAATAAATCATGCGGTACAGTAATCTGCGGCCATTTTGATGTACAACAGCGCCATCTGTGTCAACTGAATGAGTTATTATCTTGACTTTAGGGCTGCTGCCATAAAATTCATTTTTATTTTGTTTCGAATTTTAATATTCACATTGTCATTTTGTACCGATGATTTAATAAATTTAGAATTCATAATTCTTTTTTACACTTTAAATTTTTTTTTTAATTCGTTTTATAATTATTTAAAGAAATTTAAATAAGTTACCAATGAAATTATAGAGACCAGTTTTCCTGAACTAATTCTTAATTATAGAAAACAGCTTTTGCTCTACCAGATGATGTCATATGAAAATAATGTAAATAATAAAAATAGTGACTACTTATTTCGGCAGCCCTATGTATTTTAAACGTAACATGATTTATAGGCCAACCCTTTGGCCAGATTAACCCTTTATCGTGGGTCATGTGACACAAGACGTGCGGGGTCACATACCCCCCGTACGCTTCAATTCAATTTTATAATTTATTATCATTCTTAAATACTTCAAAGTGCATAAATTCGCAGAGGGATCAAATATCATTTAATAAGGAAATCAAGACTACTGACACTCATAAAATATCATATCTTTAAAACGATGTTTACTTAAACAAGAGTACCTACTTGGATGACCAAACTTTGATATTTTTTCTCACAAAAGAGGGAATTTGAAAAAAAATAAGGAAAAAAATCTGAACTCGAGCCGGGGTCTTCTGGTTTCGGGAGCGGCCGATTACCGCCCGAGCTACTATGACCTTGTAGATGGTGGCGAAATGTATTCTTGTCATCATCATCATTTCCGCCTGTAAGAGTCCACTGCTGAACATACGCCTCCTCTAGGGATTTCCGCTTCGATTAATGATGTTTGAAGCGGCAGGCATCAAGCGAAATCCCACCATTTTTGACAGGTCGTCAGTCCATCTCGCTAGTACTCTTGTATTCTATTAATATGTTTCGTTGCCCGAAAACAAGGATAAAACGTCGTTTTCCAAAAAAGAATCCTGGCTGAATCGATCTGATTTATCGCCCCCGAAACCCAAGCACATTATATTTCCTGAAAATCGTTGGTACTGTTTCCGGGATTCAGATATATAATATACAAGAATTGCTCGTTTAAAATATAATAGCGGTAAAGTTCGTTATTTCGAGGTTTAAAACTGCGAGTACGTAGACGTCAGAAATTTTAGTTACTAAAACCTACCGTTAATTTAATGTATATATTTTTATATCGACCTCAACAGAAGACCGGTATGAAGTGGAAGTTTCATAATTCTGCGTTTCGTCTGGTGAGTGGGGTAGCCGGGGCCCACTTTATTATAAAATGGCTAAGCATTTCTAACCCTACGAGTGTTAGAAATATCCATTTGTGGCGGTTATCACCTAACATCAGGTGAACCGCCAGCTCGCTTGTCACCTTCTCGCATAAAAAATACTGCAGTGGAGAATGTCAATAAACAATATTTTTTTATATAATAAATGTTGATTTTATAATATTATATATACACGGAGTGAACTGCAAATGATTAATCCAATATCCTATCACACTTTGTACAAGTCAAGTTGTATTAATGTACAACTTAATGACAAATATATAGCAAACACGATTGTAAGAGGCATCTTAATGAGGGACAAGACTAAAATTGATTACTACATCCCTGCTAGTACCCGAGACGAGGGCCGTGATGATGTGTTCTTTTAATAACCATTTCCTTCCACCGTGCTACACGCTGTTGAGAGATTAAAAATCGAGTACGGCCTGCAAAAAACATCCAAGATACGTTTCTGCTCAAAGGGCTTCGTTAAAAGGCTTTTTTACCTGCTAGTACTACCTAGATTTACTCAGCACATTCACTTTTTTTAGTTAATGAAATAAAAAATTGAAAAAGCTAATGCAAGCCTCTAGGATCTCTGCCCATGAATTAGCATTGGTGGCAGTTTCTAAAACACAATATATCTACAAAGGTTTTGTAGAAATCTTCAGGTGTTCGGTTTTTGATATCGTAATGTATTTGTCGCATTTCCGTATGTCAAATAGACGTCAAACATGAAGTCTTAATAGCATTTTTATTAGATTAGATATTTTTTATAAGTTGATTCAACTGCAAATGATTCAAAAGCCAAAATTTTTCATAAATGTAAGAGACAGAAAAGTGTTGCCATATTCCATTTCATTACGATTATTCAAACAATACCTGGGGGATCGAGCTTTGCTCAGTTTTTTTTTTGTAAATCATGTATTTTGGAAGTAAAAAATAAAGAAAATGATCTGGTAGAGAAAAAAAGTAAAAAAAAGTGTGTAAATCATCGTGATCCGAACCGCGGCGGATTGTTTTGGGGCCGCCCGATTACCGACCGAGCTAAAAAGCTAAAAAAAATTATAGTTTACGTATGTATATTATGTTAACACACATTTCTTATTAAAATTAAAACAATTTATCTTCGACGAATTTAATGTATAAAACACATAAGTTTCAAACTCATAACGGCGGGCAAGTCTCTGTATTTACTTAACTGAGTCGCAAAGTGTGGTTAGCACAGACAGAATATTTTACATCAATTAACAGCGGCAATAAAGAAAGTTAGTCCAAAAGAGTAGAAGGAACAATTTAGCAAAGTACTCCGACTGAAATTTCAAAGGTTTCTAGTTTGTTTCAAAACAAACTCTAAAGAAAAGTTAGGGTACGTTGTCGCAAAGAGACATGAAGTTAATTATAAAATTGAAAATTGGTAGACCGACTCATAATTATTAAGTACATAAAAATGCAAGAATTTGTAAAGTTAAAATTTTTTAAAACGTTGCGTTAGGTTAACTTTAAGTCATAGTCTTTACGTTTAAAACTAAGCAAAAAGTTTTAAATTAAAAAGAGGATAATAAAATTAAGTTAGACAGCTAAAAGTTATCTGTCACACAGAAATTATATACATAATATGTGATTGGCAGACGACATATTTTTAAAACATATTATTTTATAATTCCTGCAATACTCCTTATATTTTATGATGCTTAAGTTACAATAACGGTTCTAGATAAATGAACAAGAACTGTCGGCACTGCGGGATTCGAACCTACATTCTCTGATTTCGCGTCCAGATGCTGCGTTTTTAAGTTAACACAATAATGTCATTCCGCTCGCAGCTGTCGACTCGAAAGCACGTGCCCGACTTACACCTGCTACCTCAAACGCGTAACAGCCGAGGCTGCTGCGTGGGCCTCCCACAAATAATACAGCGAGTTCTATCTCAGGAAGAGAGCTCCCAGCTGTCCGTCCGCCCCCCGTGCCTATTGAGGTGCAAGGCCAAGGCAAGGCCCTCTGAGCGTGCCCCAGTCCCATCGCCCTCAAACAGCTCCTGACCCACGCGCCCCGTACAAGAAACGCCTCACTGCCCTATTCACTCAGGCCACCGACAAATGGGCATTAAATATTTTTAAAGGCAGATACTCATTAGTTTGGAAAATGAAAAAAATCGAGTGTAGTTTCGTCAAGATTCCTATCAAGCAAGGTTTACAGGGATCCTTGCCCAGGGAAAAGTGTATTATACAAGTTGCACAACTTTTTATTGTCCCTTAGACCAGGACGGTCTGTTGAGTTGCCCACTCCAGAAATGGTTAAAAAAGTCGAAAAATTAGTTTTAGATGATGCTCGGCTAAAAAGAAACTACCAACAAAAATGCTCACGCGCATTCTCGATGACACCCACGCCAATTCGTTTCTAAGAAAGGTTCTCGAGTGGCAGCCTCGTACTAGCCATCGGAGAATATATAGAAAAAGAAGAATAATTTAGAACTTTTACTTTACCTACTTATTCTTCGAACTTAAGAACACTTCGTATATATGTATATACAAAGGAATATCCCTAGTAAAATATCGGATCAATGTTGTGTATCCATGCAAACGCTACAATATTACGTTGCGGGAAGGCGCGGGCGCCTCTCAGATAGCTTGATTAAGTGCTGTCTTAATGGAACCTGTTATATAACTGGAATTATTTATTATTTCGTCCTACGAACGAGTTCACTGGAAATTACGAGCTACTGTATTAGATAACAATTAACTTCATAAATTAACTTCATATAGCAAATAATCAGTGCAAACCTTAAAGCTGAAGACTGTATTAATGTGTATGTTTTAGACAGATGCTTTGAAAAAGATTAATCAAAAACAAAGTACTACTTTTCAAAGAAATGCTTTTATAGACATAGTTCAGTGTACATACACTTCATATTCGAAATAAATTTTAAGTACTTATATTTCAATCGGTCTTCTACTTTTTTATTTGGATTATACAGATACATGGTGGTTTGGAAACAACTAATGTTTCCAGTCCCGTTTCATTATAACTAAAGCAGAAATATATTTAACATAGAACATTTGTTGCCCTAATGTTGTTCAGAAATACTCAATTTTATAAAGGTTGAAATTTTACTGGCTACTCGAAGAGTTAATTATGTTATAAAAAGTGCAAAGGTGATTTCAATAGACGTTTTGTCGGCTATGAGTTTTACGAGGGCCATTAAAAACTCGTATCTAAGCATCTTAAGAAATCTATCCGCATGTACAGTTAAGGACCGTAATTAATTTCGTTAAAAATCCTCTCTTAAAAATTCGGAGCATTCGCGAGTTTAGTTTCGTCGTATTAGGAAAATTTCATAAAGCTGATACTGTTCCCTATTGTTTATATTAAATTAAATAACACTAGCTTTATTACAAAAGCTATTTAACAATTTTTTGAAACGTTAACATTACATTACTTAGTTCGATCCCCGGTGAAGTTTTTAACTTTAAGTGCTGACTTATCACGTGCTCCGCGGTGAAGGAAAACATCGTGAGGAAACCTGCATATTTCCGAAATAATAACAAAAAAATATATATATTTCGAAGATATGTGAAGTCCTCAGTCCGCAGTGGGGCCGCGTGGTGGACTATGCCCTGATACCCTCTATATAGAGGAGGCCCTTGCCCAGTAGTGGGACATGTATAGGCTGTTACTTTACTCTTTTTACTTTTAACATTACATTATTGTGAACTATCATAGCATATTTAGCTAAGTAGGCTAGATAAGAAAATTGCGCAGCGGAATTTCTTACCAAAAGAATAAAGGGCATAACAAATTTTTATGAAATAAATCTGTAGTAACTACTCTTTGTAGATTCATCAAAAGCATATTGTTTTCCGTAAAGTCGTCGGAATGCAGAGTCGACAGCGTTCATTTTTTCTGAAACTGATGGCATCTCCAAGCACAGTGAGCACCCATATTTATTGTACATCTTATAATCACTTTTTGCTTTTATTAACGGAGCAATTTGTTAATGAAACATTTAATCAAGCTTTATCATGCCCGCATCGCACATTGTTAACAAAATTCTAACATGAATTATCCTTTTAAAGTTCTCTTCTAAATATTCTTGATATAATTTATAGATTGTGCCAAATATAATTATGATTATTTCGAAAACAATACGAAAACATATTTCAAATCCATCAGCGTAATACTGACCTTAACATTAAGCATACAGCGGTAAATATAAACCTTTACAGTTTACCAATTAAAGTTTGTCAAAAAGTGTGAATTAGGGCTAGCGAAATAATAAAAGACATACATTTTAGTTGGGTAAATAATCTGAAATATCTAGAGAAGTTACTCTACTAATATATTTCCTATGTATTTCATAGGAAATATACGGGCTCGTGACTTCTTTACTCAAAGATATGCATTCTATTCTAAAAGATAACAAACCAGCTTAGATAACAAAGACACATCTCAAATTAGCCGGGTCGAAGCAAAAACTAGGCGGCCGGCCACCGGCAAGCACTATTCCAAACAAGTTGAGAAGATCTTGCATGGGACATTCCCACATCTAGCTAAGATAATGTGCTTTACCACTTCTACCAATACCTTTTGCCGAATCAATAAAATACAGAATACAACCCTCTATCCCCCGCGTCTCAGGGGATTCCGTAAAGAAAAATAATATAACAAATTTTATTCAAAACTCTTCGGCAATTGTTATTACGATACTAATCTATTTTCGATAATTGTTCAAATGATAGACAACGAGATCTGTTTAACAAATACACTACGTTAATATATACGACCTTAACAGGAATAGGCGTAATAACATACATAGGTATATTCTAGTAATAAACACAAAAATCTATACATGTAATGATACCTTACAAATTAATAACTTCGATTTTTCGAATGAGCTGCAAATCGTAAACATATTTCAGTTGCGTGTATTATTATTGTTCAAATCTCAAGACATTAACAAATAACTGTGTTGTGTCGGAACCATTGGTCAACAACAGCGTCGTGGTTTTCTATAGTACAGATCCTCGCTACCGATCGATTCATGTAGATCTTCTCCACAATTTACATATACCATGTCTGTTATTTTAGGAATTTAGCATGCATGGTGCGTTTCTGTTGTCCGTGCAATTCTAGTTACACAAATGTTTGCATGTATTTATCATATTCACTTTGTGAAAACCACTAATTAAGTGGAATTCACGTCGGAATGCCTTGATTCTAATCTTTAATCAATTCCGAATTATAAAATAACCTCAAAATTTTACATAACAATACGAAATTATTGGTCTCGGTTATAGAAAATAACAGGTGTAATTTACTCGTACATATCGCTCACGATTAAAAGTGCCTTACTTAAATGTAAAATAAGCATACCAATTATGTACATTTATATTTGTAATGGTTGCTCGTATGAAAGTGCATTCTAGTTGTAGGTGTGCGCTCCTGTTCTAAAGGAAGTTATACCTATTGGATTATCACCCTATCACTCATGTCGAGCGAAGCTTTCCTCTGCAGTGCATGTACGTTGAATATATGAATCAATATTCTCTTACATATTCGACCTGGTTCCCTAAGTGATTACGGATTAAGTTATGACTTAAACGTATATTAGTTCGTAGTGCGAGAATTTATTTATTAAGGAAATTATGGTAAGTGAGTTATTGCTGGTTTGTAACCAAGTATTAATATGCATCGTAATTTCTTGTATTTATGCGATTGCAAATTATTAAATTGAACTATATTTACGGATTTATTTTTAAACTTAATTTTAAATTTTATTTTTATGCCCGATCTATACAGAATGAGCTAATTTTATCTTGTCTTGCAGTGGTGGTTTGTTTGGACATAGATTTATTTTTATTTGATAATAGGATACCAAGGTGGTGGTAGCATCCGACCCTCTTCTTTTTCGTAATTTCAATAAATCAGGTTTTTTTTTAATTTCAATAGCCTCACGAATCATCCTTGGGACGAATCGGCGTACTTTTGCAAGGATCTTTGATCTACCAAACCTGATTAATGGTTAGGCTGAATTAAGGTGTCCTCACATCGCACCTTTAGAATGAAAGGGATCTAATTATGAAAATCATGATTATGGCTTTATGTCAGGAAACGATCTAAAGCGACCATCTTTTTCGAATCCTATTAAAACATGGGCCGATTTTAGAAAGCAACATAACTGTTGTGGAGGTGTTATTTTAAAATGTGATGATGATTTTAGAAAGCAACATAACGTATACTTCTGTCTCTCTCACTTCCCCCAATTAGCGCGTTTGTTCATAAGTTCCACAAATCCTTAATTTACGTTTCCCAAAAATTAATATTTTTTAATAAGTCACTATAATTCTAAAGGTGCGACATACTGCAGACCTGTGACAAACAGTTAACTATGATATTCAGACGTCCAGCGCCTGAAGCTGCATCAAGTTTAAGGAGAAATTTTTATAAATTTTTTATTGTTAATGAGTAAACAGACAGATTATAATACATTTTACCCATTAGTCAATGGTTTCGAATTGAAAATACGTAGAAGAATATTTTACACTGCAGTCTTCAATGTTTCCTTTTTAATATTTGATTTCACAACCGTGATCTCGCACATATCAAAAAAATATTGACCTTTAATAGCCGTTTTTATTAACCATTAAGGATATTTGACAGTATAAATTTCTAAAGCTGTTGAGTGGAGGATGGCAAAACTATATCTATAGTGTGATAATTCTGTCTCAATTTTATAATTTCACAAGTATTAACGTTCCGGCAATGAGAGCGAAGGAAATAATCGATCTGCCTGAGATTTTCTCTGCCACACCCAGCAATATCACCGCTATCATTAAGCGTAACAAGCGTTTAAAAGGATATGTCGTTCATACATGTCAGCGGTAATTTCTGCTATGTGTAAAATAGTCCGACTTTCTAATGGAACTAGTTCGGGCCCTTAACGATCTTGCCGTTTCGCTATTATTTTCGATTGTGCTCGCCATTTCAATAGAAACGGGTATCCCTGTGTCCGAACAAAAGCCACCGTGATTGGTTTCAC